TCCACCGAGCGCAAAGACCAGCATCAGCGCCCTCTTCTGGTTGACGGGAAGCTTGCTCGCCCAGATGGGCTGCATGGGCAGGCAGCAGGATCAAGATGTCGGTGGCGATGGAAAAGCCGGCGTTGGCGTACCAGTTCTTGGTCAGGTCGATGCACGTCGGCTTCGACGACTTGTCCCAGGCGCCGCTGATGGGGCTGCACTGGAAGATGGACGAGGCCGTCGTGGCGACCATGTAGGCGAGGATGATGCTGACGAGGACGTAGCAGCAGATGCGGAACCAGCGCTGGACGAAGATGCGCAGGTAGAGGGCGAGGATCGACGCCTTGGTCAAGTTGATGGTGAGCTTGTAGAAGATTTGCGCCACGTAGAAGAGCTGGTGTTTCCGCCCTTGTTAACCACGCCCGTTTCGCTAGCATGTCTGCGACCCGGGGTCGACATACCTTGAGCGCCATTAATCGGTCTTTGGTTTCCAGCTCATAGACGTGTTGGCCAAAACCGTAGGATACCGAAAACATCATGAGGATCTGGACAACCAGCACACACACCTGAGCACGCGTGTTCCGTCAGTGACGAGGCGTCGCAAAACTAGAGCAGCAAGGCGGTGGAACTCACAAAAGACACCATGATTGTCCAGTCATCGGCGCCGATGGTGGATCGCGTCGCTATGCGGCTCCATAGTCGAATGATGATGAAGATGGGGGTCAGAGCGAAGAAGACAATGCAGGGAACGACGACCTGATTGGCATTGGTCTCCCCGGAGCCGTTGGCGGTGGCCATGGCGGGAAGTCGGCCTGTGATGGCGGTCCGTTGGTGCAGCGAGGACGACTACCGGGCGCAGGTATGTGACAGAAGCGACATTTTCTTGTTGCTCAGAGGGGAGCGAGATGCCTCACAGCAGGGGAGATTGAGTATATGTATCCCATGGCGGCCGTGGCCTGGCACGACATGACGGGCGCCCGCTGGTGCACCCTCGAGAAAAAAAGTCATATAATTGTGCGCCACAAACCCTCCAGAAACAGTTCTCTTCCGTCCTTCACAAAGGCATTGAATGCAGACAATCGCTGACACCCCGCCCCTTGCGGTCTGCAATGCAAGGTACAGGAGGCATGGGGTTGTACCGTGGGAGGGAAAGCATGCGGGATGCACACCACCATCACATGTCTTGTTCGGATCGTAATGAACCTCGTTGTCACTGGAAACGACGGGATGCTCGGTGCTTGGCGGGAGAAAGGGGGGAAGGATGTGGTAAAAGCGACCGAGTTGCAGCCAACATTGCTGCATGTCCGTTGTATGTCTCGCAGGCTTTGCCTCTTCCTCTCTCGCAGTCCAAGACGTCGCAGGTCTGCGTCCAAGACTTTGCAGGCCCCAAGAAGTCAGGGATCGCCAGCATAACAATGCTTGCGTCTTTCCTTTCATGGCATCCGCCGGAATCCTTCGTTGCTGCAATGGAGCTGCCCCTCCAGAGACTAACACACACCACGTTAAACACACCAGCGCGGCCCCTCCCGCGCTGGTCTTATTCTCTGGCGTGTCCGGACCCGAACTTGGTCTTCCCGGCTACCCGCGGTCCCCTCCCCAAGCTCACCAACCCATACCCCATGTCGCTGAGGCCTGGCTCCTTTCGACTAGTCCTCAGAGACCCCTGCGCCCGGCTGCACCGGGAACAACGGCTGCGCTAGCGAGGTTGTCGCCAAGGCCTCTTCTGGTGCCGTTCTGTGCCTTGTTGCCAGAAAGGTTCCAACCAACTCGTACCTTAATTTGCTGTGCCACCGGTGGCTTGCAGAATGTTGGCTACAGGCTGATGTAGTCCACCACCAAAAGCGAACGGGCCCCTGTCGGTGGCGGCCTTGCGACCAACAGGCAGACCGTCGTGCCGAGCCCTCGTGTGTAAATCACTCGCATCCAGAAGCAGAAGGTCAAGCCCGTTCGCCATGCTGCAGAACAGGGGTCGTGTCGTGTGCTTGTGGGATCGAACCACACTTATCAATCCTCCTGGGGATGCTTCGAACCGTGATCTGCAGCCCCCGTCTCCGCTTGATCCATCGCGACATATGCACTCGTCTTGTC